TTTAATGTTTTTTTAAAGAATTCTCTTCTGCTCACCAAGCTTGCATTTATTTGATCCAAAATACAGCAGAAGCAGTAATATTGTGAAATATTTTTACTATTTAAAATAACTACTTTCTATTTGAATATCTTTTTAAGTGTAATTTATTCCTATGATGCAAAGCTGAATTTTCAGCATCATTCCTCCAGTCTTCAGTGTCACATGATCCTTCAGAAATCATTCTATGTTCTGATTTACTGCGTCAAAAATGTATTATTATTAACATTTAAAACAGTTGAGTATATTTTTTTCAGGATTCTTTGGTCAGGATTTTGAGTCACTGCATTGAGAACGTGAATGAATTGTTTTTAGGGCAGGATTTTCATGGGTCTTGAGGGTTCATGGAGTTGAGGTTGATGGTTGGCCTTTTCTCTGCCAATGCAAATCAAGATTCAAAGTCTGTTCCAGCCTCATTCAGGACTGCCTGTGTAAATCAAATAAATGCAAATCAGAGGAACATCCAGCAGAAACGGCCCTTAACTACCTGTCTGCTCGTGTCATGCACACAAAGACAATATCTCTTTTTTTTTTTCTGGGAGCTGATTTAATTGTTGAATGCTGTCTCTATTCTATTACATTTGGGCTAAAATAGGTGAGAAAGCAAAATACAGGATGCTCAAAGCATGTGAAAAATGCCTGGAATGAAACAAGCCAGAGCCTGTCGTTGTATATGTGTATAGTTGACATGAAGTAGGTCTTTGGAAGTTGTAATGTGACATGCTAGCTATACTCTAAGGATGGGAATGTTTTGGTACCACACAATTTGATTATGATTCAGAGGGATGCAATGTGATGATCTTGATGCACCGCTTTTTCTTCATCGTTGCAAAGTATTTGTGATGATCCGTAACGAATTTACTTCCAGTGTAATGTGACTCTCTCTCTCTCTCTCGCTCGCGCACACACACACACACACACGATGCGCAAAGCTCCGCATTTGAACAGTCAATAGCAAATACTTAAACTAATAACAAAACAGTAGATGATTCAGAAGCGCCAGATTGTCATAGCAAAGTCAGAATGACCTCCTCTCCTAGGTTCACGAAACGGTCGTCCATAAAATGCATTGCTGTTCTGTTGTAAGTAATCTTAAAGATTCCTAAATGCATCTACTTTTGGAAGGCCAAATAAAGTGCTTTTGCTTTCGCACTGAAACACACAGCGTCTCTCTGACATGCTGCTTCAACACTAACTGCGGTTACTGAAACCACGCCTTCTTTCTTTGCGTGCACATTTGGGCGGCATTATGCTAATATATCCACATAGTGAGGTAGATATGTGGGGGCGTGTTAGAACGAGGCGTTTTAGGGGGGCGTGGCAGAGTCTTAACTTTGATAAAGAATATCTCTTTGGTTTTGAGACTTTAGTCTTTGCAACTTCAGGGATCTTATCTATGCACAATCAGCTTGTAACACTCCAAAGAGAAAGGAAAACTTGAAATCGCATCATATGACCCCTTTAGCAATCTGCAAATTCAAGGCAATAAGGAACATGTATATATGTAATGTATGTGAGTGTATGCATTATTTTGTGTAAAATGATTTAAAATAGTTACAATATAAATAGCAATATATTAATATAATTAGCAATATTTAAATGTTTTATAAATATAACCAATAAATATTTAAATGTTTTTACATTATAAAAAAAAAAATCTCAACATTTTGAAAACAGCAGAATGGGTTCAATCAAATTAAACCAAATTAAAAAAAAAATCATTATGTAGATTTTCAGTTTCTGTGAAATGTTTTGAGCTTAAATTTAACAATTTATTTTTAAATAATTAATGCTGATTAATTCAGAAAAACTTGTGTTATCTGAAAACATGTTATCATGTGAATTCGTTCTAGTGAATTTATTTTATTGTAAGGCTGATTCGATTAAATGGTATTAGGAAAACAAAACAGAAATACAAAAAAAAAATTATAATTTCTATTTAAAAATATATTCTTACTCTCATTTTTTTTTTTTTTTTACAAGCATTTAATACAAAGTGCTCTGAATTTTATTATTATTATTTTTTTAATCAGTTTTGCAGCTATTGCACAAAGTTTGTAATCTAGCTCGCATCTCACCTGTGTTTGTGTCTTTTCCTCATTGGTTTCAGGTATATCGAGGCTAAGAAAGACAGAGTAACTGTTGTGTTCAGCACAGTGTTCAAGGATGACGACGATGTCATCATCGGGAAAGTGTTCATGCAGGTTCGCTAATTTTATCCCGTTCTCAGGTTCAATCTTGACCATTTCTGTATTGCCTTACTATGCAGTTGTATTAGGGATGTAGCTCAATGATAGTGTGCATGCTTTGCATGTATGAGGTCCTGGGTTCAATCCCCAGCATCTCCACAAACTTTGGGGAAGTCGTGGCCTAATGGTTAGAGAGTCGGACTCGTAACCCAAAGGTTGTGGGTTCGAGTCCCGTACCGGCAGGGGTTGTAGGGGAGGGGAGGGAATGTACAGCGCTCTTTCCCACCTTCAATACCACGACTGAGGTGCCCTTGAGCAAGGCACCAAACCCCCAACTGCTCCCCGGGTGCCACAGCATAAATGGCTGCCCACTGCTCCGGGTGTGTGTTCACTGCTCCGTGTGTGTGTTCACTTTGGATGGGTTAAATGCAGAGCACTAATTCCGAGTATGGGTCACCATACTTGGCCACATGTCACTTCACGTCACTTTCACATCCCTTTAACTGCTTAAAATGTTGAAACACATGCCATCTGGGTGTTTTAGACTGAGCTCATTGTTAGAGCTGTATGCTTTTCACATTTAAGTTATTTTATATCTCTGTAATATATGTACCGTGGCCCCAAAAAGTTGGACAAATTGGACAAATAAGCCACAATTGAAAATGCATAAATATGTTTGCATTATTTAAAAATATCAATGCAAAGGGTATTTATTTTAAATAAATATATAAGCAAGCACTCATTTCTATCAAAGTTTGCATCTAATGACAAAGACCTTTTTTAATAGCCCAAAAAAATTTTAAGGGCTACTATATACATATTAAATAATTAGTTGTTTTTTGCAGATGTATAAAAATGTCTAAAGAATCTTGAAACAAGATACATTTACTTGAAGCAACATTGAATAAGATATTCAGATTTGTTTTCATAGACAGCCTTTTTCGCCTGTTCTTGCTCTGGAATGGTTTAAAATCACTTGAGTGTGTTAACACGTACAAATGATAAACTTTCACTCTATTATGCTTAAATTTTACAATTAATCTGTGGATCACATGCGTGCCGAACTGTGGAGCCTGGTCCGTACAGATCAACTACGATCGTTCAACTACTAATATTTTAACTGAAAAAGAAGATTTAAATGCATATTAAGAATATTATTTTCTCAGTGTATATGCTGCATTTATTTGATAAAAAAATACAGTAAAAACAGTAATTATTGTTAAATATTATTGCAATTAATAGTAACTATTTTCAATGGTTTCCAACATGGAATAAAACAAATAAAAATGGTAATTGACGTTTTATCTCAAAATGTAGATTTTCTTTTCTCACAATTCAGATTTTTTTTTTCTCGCAAAAAAAAAACTTAATTGTGAGATATCAAAAATTGCAAGATGTAAACTCAGAATTGCGAGAAAGTCAGAATTCTGAGTTTATATTTTGCAGTTCTGAGAAAAAAAAGTCTTGTGTAAACTCCGAATTGAAAAAAAAGTTGCAAGTACGTTTTTTTTTTTTTTTTTATTCCATGGAGGATATGGGCTTCCATAGTTTTCCATTTTAAAATATGTTATAAAGCAATTCAATTTTTCTGGAAATGTCAGCTTTTTTATAATCCAGTGAATTAAATGCTTTACCAATAAAGGGCATTTCTAGTCTAATTTGACTATTTTTACAAACTCACTTGCACATAATGATGTCAGCAGTGCAAACCACCACCAGAACAGCTGCTGTGATTGTTAACAGTGGTGTTTTTACAGTCATCCTGATGTCTGTGTTTCTCTCTGTTCAGGAGTTTAAGGAGGGCAGGAGGGCCAGTCACACGGCTCCTCAGGTGCTGTTCAGTCACAGAGAACCTCCTCTGGAGCTAAAGGACACCGACGCCACAGTGGGAGACAACATCGGCTACATCACTTTTGGTTTGTATCTTGAGGTCACATATACATAAACATTAATTTAGCGTATTTACTTGCAAATGGCACTTGGCAAGTGTTAATTTCAGACCCTGGTTGAACACTATTATCAACCTCAGCTGCTAGTTAAATAAAGACTCTTGTCAGATTCACTTGATGATGCATTGTATGTTAATTTAGGCCAGAACAAAGCACTGCTGCTTACCTGTGACAGGTGCACTGTGTATTTGCATTCGGATCAAGCAAGCAAACACCCATCTTCTCTTCATGGCGGTTGCACAAACCTCTTAATGAATAGAAAAAGCACCACACCCTTTTATCAAAGCCAAAAACATTTACCAGCGCTACTCCACTTGAGTTTTTTATGCAACCAGGAAGTATCTAGAGACATGCAATATTAAGTGCTTATTTAGTTCTGTTTTGTCTCTTCATTTCACTCTGGTACCCTGCAGCAAGAAATGCAGAACAGTAGTAACTGAAAATACTAATCTTTGAACGTAAACCTGTTGTTACAGATTATTTTGTTCTCGGAATAATACATTTAGTTACTAAAACATGCCCCCACATATCTACCTCACTATGTGGAAATATTTGCATAATGCCGCCCAAATGTGCACGCAAAGAAAGAAGGCGTGGTTTCAGTAACCGCAGTTAGTGTTGAAGCAGCTGAAAAATAATGTGTTTTTTGAACATTAAAGCATGTCAACAACATATTCTGTTACACCAAATACACCAAATAATGATCTTTAAAAAAAGCATCATATGTAATTTTGTTGTAGTAATAAAATATACACACACACATACATATATACATATACATTGCATTTGCGACTGACCCGATCAGCATATTTGTGTTTGTGCACAGGGAGGGGAGCGTCAAAAATTTCTACTTGCAACGTGTTTTTGCAGCGTTGAGTAATGTATCACAGACATATCTGTTGATTCCTTAAACACAATGTTAATCAGAATCCTGCACAGCAGCTGCAGTGACGCGCTGACTTTACCGATTAGCGATTGGTTCTTTTATTCAGAAGGCGGGGCTTCTTTCAATCGAGCGGTCATATTGAGTGTTGTCAATCATCTTGTCACAGTTAACATCCTCCACATTTCATTTAACTTCCTACCGTATTGGAGAGAAAAGTAGCAGCACCTACTGGCAGTTTTTGTTTGATTTTTAAAGTATAATTTCAGTTATTTAAATCATTTAATATTTCTATATTCAAAGTTTTATGTTTAAAGCATTAATCTCAACATGAATTTATGAATTTAATTGCACTCATGCCACCTCTGAGCATCATTAAACATCTGAAAATACACCTACAAGCCACTTTTGTGTTTTTCTGTGCCACCTCTGTAGTACGAATTAATTTTGTTAATACTAATTTCATTTGATTGGTAACATTCTACTTGTTCTTATTCTATTGTTTTAATGAGAAATGTAAAAATAAAAAGCTTATAAATATACATTTTTGAATTTGACACAAAAGATGACTTACTTTTAATAAAGTTAGAAAAATGCCATTACAAGTGCTCCTAAAAAGAAAAGTAAGCGTAGAGCCCTGTAATACTGTTAAATATTTAAAGTAATGGTTTTCTATTTTAATATACTTTCAAATCTAATTTATTCCTGTGATGCAAATCTGAATTTTCAGCATCATTACTCCAGTCTTCAGCGTCACATGATCCTTCAGAAATAATTCTAATATGCTGATTTATTATTAATGTACACTACTGTTAAAAGGTTTGCGGTCAGCATTTTTTTTCCTTTTTTGTTTTTAAATAAATTAATACTTTTATTAAGCAAGGATGTGTTAAATTGATAAAAAGTGATGGTAACGACATATTGTTTGAAAAGATTTCTGTTTTCAGTAAATGCTGTACTTTTTTATTAATCAAAGAATCCTGAATTATTGACAAAAAAAAATATTAAGCAGCACAATGTTTTCCAACGTTGATAATAAATCAGCATATTAGAATGATTTCTGAAGGATCATGTGAAACTGAAGACTGGAGGAATGATGCTGAAAATTCAGCTTTGCATCACAGGAATAAGTAACATTTGAAAGTATATTAAAATGGAAAAGCTTTTTTTTTTTTAAATTGTAATATTTCACTATATTACTGTTTTTTTGTTTGTTTTTTTTTTGTTTCAATGAGCATAAGAAACGACTTAAAAATCTTACTGATCCCAAATTTTATATGTTACCCAAATGTGTCACAATTACAGTAAATGTCTTATTATATTTCAAATAAAAATACTGAAATAATTTCCCAACAGTGCTGTTTCCTCGACACACCAACGCCAACACCAGAGACAACACCATCAACCTCATCCACACCTTCCGGGACTATCTGCACTACCACATAAAGTGCTCCAAGGTGAGAAACGCCTCTTTGCCCAACGCCACTCTTCAAACGAGACCCTCGCGTTTGTAAGAAGCTTAGTAATGTGCTTCTCAGTTTGCATACTTGTCATTCAACCATTCGGCCCTTTGTTTGGCCAGATGAAACCAATTTGTCAGAGTGAAGAAAACTGCTCTATTTTTGGGAATGTAGGTGTTTTCCACTCTCACAGATGTGTTTTCTCTGGTTTTAGGCTTACATCCACACTCGCATGAGGTCCAAGACCTCGGACTTCCTGAAGGTACTCAACCGAGCTCGCCCGGACGCTGAGAAAAAAGAGATGAAAACTATTTCGTAAGTGCTGTTTCACAATCAGTAGTGTTTCACACGTTATATGAAAACGCACCGAGTTATCCAAGTCTTAAAATCTTTTTCTCATGGGCTTTTTTCTAGTAGAGGTGGTTGATTTGTGCTGATGTTGGTGCATATCTCTGGGTTTTATTTAACACCAGTGGCATGTGCTTGTAAAAGATTACTTTGTGATAGTGTGTGTTTGAATCTTCATTAATTACGTTGAGGCGTTGCACCATCCACTGATCATATCAGAGCAGATTACCATGTGCTTTTTGCTATTTGAGCTTGTTTAAACTGAAACCTGGCCAAGTGCTGCAGATACGTCTTCTCTGGAATCAAAGGCCATTTTTTCTGCTAGATTAGAAATAGATTTTTATCAATAACGTAGAAACCTTTCGAAATATACCTAACGTGAGTTCTGATGAATTACTTTTTGTAAATATCAGTGTGCTTTTAACTTGGGGAAAAAAACTGTTTTAACGACTTCCTGTCAACATTACTCATAATCCTGAAGAAAGATCCACCAATTGGAGAAGCTGCTGTTTGCATTGAAAAAGCTCAGCAGCAGACACCCACTCCCATAATGCACTGCGAATCAAAAGTCTATCTTAAATGATAGATTTTAATATTTTGCAATAAACCTCTAAACTATTGTGCTATATTTATATTATAGTTCATAAATAATTTAAGTGCACAGTTATGTAGTGTTACCTTTTCTGTTTAAATTGTCATACAGTTTAATCAAATTCAAATATTGTGATTCATCTCAGAGCTGATTTTAATTTTTTTTAAATGTCTTTGGAATTTTAATTTTATTTATGCATTTATTTTTCCATAACCAAGCTGCTGTTCCTCTACAGTATAAAAAAAACACTTCTTGGTTGTAATTCAGTGCTTACAAATTCAGAAACGAGACGTTTTCCTCAAACAGATTGTTAATATTTACACAGTAAAAATGACCTCCATAGTCAAAGAATTCACAATGACTGGAATATGAAGTGCTTCTCTGTGTCATCAGACTTTAAAGATTTCTGGATAACACTTTTCAGTAGGTTTTAATTAATAGTTAACGCATGAAGTATTTTGAACTAACAATGAGCGACCGTTTTTACTTTATATTTTAACGTTTATTAATATAGGTTAATATTGATTTCAAATAATGTTCATTGTTAATTCATGTTTGTTCATGATACATTAGCTAATGGGAATTTATACAGCTTCAGATGTTACAAATATATAATAGAAATGGTAACACTTCCGTTAGGTGACATTAGTTAACTAACAATGAACAATGCATTTGTTACAGTATTTAATCATCTTTGTTAGTGTTATTAATAAAAATACAACTATTCATTGCTAGTTTAATGTCAGCAAAGGTCCGTTAAATAATATGAACTTATACAACTTTTGATTGTACTAATAAAAATGTATTAGTAAATGTTAAAATTAACATTAAGGTTAATAAATTCAAAGTATTTTGTCATGTTAACAAATGGAACCTTATTGTAAAGTGTTATTGTAGAAATGAACATTCATTGTTAGTTTATGATACCTAATGAATTAACTAACATTAACGAATCGAATTGACTGATTTCTGACTTCTGATTTAAGTGTTACAGATTCATGCTTCACTATAAATCCTTAAGAATCAATGATTGTAATTCAGAGACAGTGATATATTTTTCGAATCTTATTTTTATTGTTATATTGTTTTGGTTATATATATGTGTGCACTTTGACATTTTCTTGGTATCATGTGTCTGTAGTACACTCTTGCAATATTGAGTATATAGCTATATTTATTCCACTGTTTTGACCTGTGAATGTGAATGTAACCCTCACATGATCTGTCCAGGGGCAAGACCTTCTCCCGTTAAGGACATGATGTGCAATCACGAGACCAGCATCTGTGGACTCCATCGTACACCTCTGGCCAGTGATGTCAATCCTCCACCTGTAAATTGCACCTCAACAGGGAGACAAAAATGTATTTCTCGCTTTGCGTTTATAGGATAAATGTCATTTGTATGGCGGATAAATGTTTTTTTTTTGATACACTCTTATGTTTCATTGCGTAGCTCTGTTGTCTGGATCATCCACCTGTAAATTGCACCTCAACAGGGAGACAAAAATTTATTTCTCGCTTTGCGTTTATAGGATAAATGTCATTTGTATGGCGGATAAACGTTTTTTTTTGATACACTCTTATGTTTCATTGCGTAGCTCTGTTGTCTGACAGTGTTTTATTGACCTTAGTCATGCAGTATTTTCCCTTTCCTCTTGCCGCCTTTGTTTGCGCCAAATGCATCAATATTGGACATCCTGAATCGGTCATGAATAAACCCGTCTTCTATATAAGAGATTCTTTGTCTGTTATTTGGGGTAAATTTACTGTATGCATGCATGCAAAAGTTTAGGGTCGGTAAGATTATTTTAATGTTTTTGAAAGATGCTCACCAAGGCTGCATTTATTTAAACAAAAATATTGTGAAATATCATTACAATTCAAAATAACTCTTTAATATATTTTATCACGTAATTTATTCATTTGATGCCAAGCTGAATTTTCAGCATAATTGATACAGTCTTCTGTCTCACATGATCCTAAATCATTCTAATATGCTCAAGAAACATCTCTTATTATTATCATCAGTGTTGAAAACGGTTGTGCTATTTCATATTTTTGTGGAAATCGTGATCCTTTTTTTTGTTTGTTCAGGGGCCAGTTGCATATAAGGTTTAGACTAGTCTTACAAGTTAGTCATTTTTTTTTCTTTAAAACTGGTCATTTTTTAAATTCAGTTACATAAAAGCATACATTAGTCTAACTTGAATAATGCAAAATAAGACTGATTACCCCTTGGCTAACAGCTAGTTGGCCAAACTCATACTTAAGACATTGTCTTAACATAGAGGCTAGGTTTATGCAACTGCCCCCTGCATTCTTTGATAAATAGAAATCTTTTGCAATATTATAAATGTCTTGCTGTCACTTTTGGTGCGGAATGTATCATTTTCTTTCAAAAACAAAAGTTCTTACGGACCCCAAACTTCCGATTGGTAATTTACATTCTAAAATAACAACACTAGCCAAGGAAATGACGCTCATACATGTTTTATTGTGGTACAGGAGATTGATAAAATAGTCATGGTCATCACAAAGAAAAATTGAGCAAATTTGAGCAATAAGAAGGACAGAAAGACAGAGTTGAAGAACAAAAATAAAAGGAATTTAGTGTAATGTGTGTTATACTTATTTACCATTGTTTCTGGTTAATGTAACAATATAATTTTAATTAGCAATTAATTACTCTTTAAATAGTGTAGTTATTTTCCTTAAAATAATTAAATCAAACAAAAGGACGATATTTAGTTAAATCTCTGCCGGCGGTCTCAGATTATTATTGTTTCACAGCACGCTTAAACATCACAATCTTACTTGATCTGGACAAACCGTGTATCATTAGAAAGATTAAAGACTCCAGCTTTGATATTTGACCACTGAATGATAAAAATCGGTTGCAGTGAAAGTCATTTCTTAATTTATGCCAGGATTGCTAAATAATAATTCAGCAATGTATGGTATTTTGAATAGAATTTAAAAAAGCATTCATATTCAGTCTTGTCTGAATATGAATGCTGAATATGAATGTGTTCACCGATTTACTGAACAGCATCATTAAGGGCTTATAGACCAAAAGTGAGCATACTTGGGAGCAAAATTGATATATTTACACTTTTACTTCATATTCCTTCAGACAGAATCATCATTCCTATTAATTTTCCACTGATTTACACAATCTGATGAGCATTAGCTACTTCCAGCGCTGTCTCAGTATGTTTTCTCTTCCGCAATAGCTGTTCTGACTCCGATGAAGCTCATTCACTGTCACTCATAATACGCGTTCATAACCCGATGACATGCTTCCCTTACACTTCCGCGTTGTGTTCTGTCCACAGCAAACCCAGAGAAACGTTTCTACACAAGAACATGAAGCTAATAAACACACGATTACCATAGTATATAACTGGTATGTGATTTTTATGAGCTTTGGGTTATTTTCATAACAATAAAGAATGTTTAGAAGGGCAGTGAAACAGCTACTCTGGTGGCGCCAATCTACAATCTTTTTTTGTGGCTGCAGCGGGTGCTGCATTTTATTTTCGTTCACTTCGTGAACTATTGTGAATTTACATTATGCATTTAAATTAATAGTACCCACTGCAAAATTATTCTATGGGTGGCCACAGGGGGGGCCAGAGTTTATGGCCAACCCTTGGGGGCGCCCCTGCCTTCGCTAACTCCAGTTCTTCCAACTCCTCTTTCTCATCTAGCAACTTTTCCATCTCTAACCCCAGTTGTTCTGCCAACTCCTCTT